GTTTCATCGAAAATTAAAATTTTGAGTTTTTGGGGGTGTCACAGTAGTTCTGGGGGTGTAATAGTAGAATAGTACCAATTTTGTTTCATCGCAGCAACATTCCATAACAACTGAATTCTTGTAGCCGATCTAGTCATTAAGTGTTCACTACCTTCAATGGAACTTTTTCCCTACTATAGATTAAAAAAAAAAAAAAAAAACTCTGACAGTTCGTAGGCATACGAATTGTTCGCCTAACTTGACAGACGAATTTGCTCTCTTGTTACGCTGACGATCATTCAACACTTATTCCAGGGTAATAAAAGGCTAAATTCAGGTGTAAACTTTCCTTTTTTCAGTAATGCGAGGGATCTACAAGGATCTAATTGTAATGCTGTATGGCGGTGAACTCATAGATGATGGCCAACTGAGAAGTAAGACGGAACACTCATTTTTCGGGGACCGACAGGTTTGTTACTCTGGTCACTGCCATGAAATATTCAGAACTACCTCTGTACTAAAAACAAAAGTTGTAAGTATCGTTTAACAGTTCCTAAGTTTTATAGTACTCGCATTAATTTCAGATCGACATTCTTCCACTTGAGAACGATCGCGTTTTTCGACAGGCACGGGAATATCATACAGAGTTTTACTTGATTCAGTATCTCTTCACTACAAGGTGGATGACTATTGTTATAACACTTTTTTTTNTTTTTTTTCTTTTTTCTAGTCTAATATCTATTTCAGAGTAATGAAGGATGATATTGATACCGCACTTTTGGAACTCTGCTCGGCGAATGAATTTCCCGACGTAATTCTTATCAACTCATGTCTGTGGGATATAACCAGGTTGGTTGATTGGAAAGATAATTTCTGTGCTAATCCGTACAAAAGAGAAGATTTGATAAAGCATGGCGAAAACCTCTAAGGTATGCACCATTATGAAGTAAGCTATTCAGGCTTATCGAAGTCATCCGCTAGCCTACATAGTATGCTCAAAATAGAGTTGCGGGCGATCGCGGCGCGATGGGGGTTGATAAGAAGCGCCGCCGTTCTACAGCTACTTCCGCGTGCTAAAGTGGACCGAAAAGTGGTTGTCAAGTGTGATCGTCTCTTATCAGTCCCCCTTCCGAATTGATTCAACACATGGTTCAATTTTGTCAACGGGCGTGGCTACTGTGCAGTCGTCAATAACTATGATCTTAACTTTTGGGCATACCGACAGTTTCGTTTGATATTTTATCGGAAAATGACGAGCAATGTACAAATATGTTACCACTGTTGACCATAATGAGATAGAAGAAGATATAATAGTAAGATATGGGAAAAANAAAAATACTGAAAGGCGATAGAAATATGAGAACGTCACCAAATGAATTGCCCTAATACACCCATTGTCGGCGAGTGAGCTGCGATACAAAGGGAGTAACAATCCATCTCGTACAGAAATAGAACAGCAAACCGGCAAATACTGAGATCGGTAGAGCTGGTAAAGCTCTGCGAAAGACCGCAAGAAGCACAAGTGTAAAACATAGACCGACCAGGATTGCCACATAGCAAGCAACGGTAGTGTTCCAATCGAAATAACTGCTTGCTTTTCCCACCAAGACTGAGTAGAAAATAAAGTCACCAAGGCCGAGTTTTACGCCCTTCTCTTCTCGTTCACCTCGCATGAGATTAGGCTGGACTCGAATATTTTGTGCCACTGTAGCTAATTCATTGAGCGAACGAGCTGCCTCCTGAGCGATGTGTTCAACAGCACTTTCCGATTGGCGAAGCGGAGCAAATCGTTTTACTTTAGTGGTTGCATTACTGGAAGCAAGAAGCCCGCTCACAGAAGGAGTAGACTCATCCGATGAACTTGGCTGAAGTTGAGGTTGAATCTGATTGTCTTCACCATCCAATGCACCGGTAAACACAAATGAGTACATCATGCCGGACGAATATATCAACGCTGGAAAGATCGGTTCGTTGCGTTCCTGAGCAGTTTCGACGAGAATACGTAGAGGGCCATTAGGAGCTAGAACAGCGACAAGGTCCCATATAGAAATTACGGCCAGAACTGACCATACGGTCCATTCCGGTAGATACTTAATAAAGACCAGAGCCATAAGGGCAGACATAGTGATTAAATAGAACTGTTGTAATCTCAAAGGACCTTTCCAATGAATACACATCATCCCAAGCACACCAAAATTACCAAGAAAGAAAGTGACGGTAATTACGGATAATGATATGTTGAAACTCTTCATAACTTCCTGAAGATAGATAGTCGTAAATAAGAACAACAACAAACAACTGCTAGCCATGAGCCAACCATGAATCAACTTATAGCATCGATACTTGTAGAAAAAGATTAAAATGACAGTCATCACTACAACAACACATAACATAACTAAAGCATTACCCAATGACATAAGGACCTTTTCGCTGGCGCTGTCAGTTTCCTTGACGAACGGAGTATATAGAAGATGGCGGCCATCATTTTGCGAATAAAATGTAACCGTGTTCATTGTGAATACCACCATGACCATACATAACGAAACAGGAACGAATAGATTGATTACGTGGCGAGCTCCATACTTCATTTCCGCTTCTTCTTCCTGTTCCTCGACTCGCTCTTGATTAGCGGAATCCTCCACACTTGTCGATACTGCAGATCCATATGAAGTAGCAGTAACAGTGACGGCTTTCGGAGCAGAAGTCGATGGAGGGCATTGAGCAGGACCGTCCTGCTCTGCAACTGACGACATCTTGATAGAATACCTGCTTCCAACAATTCAGAACACCTCGTTCGTCTTCGATCGATTTCGTCCGCGGGTGCGGCGCGTTTTATGTTTGGGGCGCGCAATCAATCGAAAAAAGAGAACCACTGCCTAGACGCGAAATTTGCAGTTTTATGGCATTTCTTGAGCATGGAATTGTAAGTCACGAGTAAGATGGGTCTTGAAAAGCAGCAACATCAGGTTCACTGAAAGTCGAGACGATGGAGGTTTGGGTGGTCTTAATAGGTCAGAATCTTGAACAAAGTCACAATTCAGTCAGTCAGTTGCAATAGAGATGGCTCTGCTAGACTCAGCGCTTTCTGAAGGATGCAAAATTGAACAGAGTTAGTCGAAAAGAGCTAAATTGAACAGAATTAGTTGAAAAGGTGAGCACGAAAAATCAGAGCAATGTTTGTCGGCCCATGAAAGATGTAGGTAAAGGTGAAGTGAGAAAGGGGAATGACTGCGAGCAACAAGGTAGGAAGGAACAGATTGAAAGGGGTGATTGTGGTATTTTCAAACGACCCTTTGAATTTTCACAGCTCAGGTACTCGAAGGCGTTCGATTATGACATTTCTCCTAACATCAACAGACAAGCAGCGGTCGAGCGTGCTGCCCTAGAAGAATTTCTGGAGCGGTTAGTGGGGAGCCTTTGCAGTGTTCATTAACAAACTTACTCCTTCCTCATTTTCGTCAATGTCTTACTTTTGAGTTTTTCAAGGGTTTCGATGTTAATTCGCCGTCTTCGTCTCATCATGCCACCTACTACACAGGTAGCGTCATAATCGCCATCTTGATCTGGGGCTTTCATATGAAATGTTTTTAATTCAAGGTAATTTGGATAAATATGCCTTGGCCTGTGCCCTCGGACTCGCGGTCGATTTTGAATCGCGTTGACAATATTGATACAAAGCATCTCAACAGGTAAGGTATTTTTAGATTAATTTTCTGTATCGCTGGAGAAACATGTGTTCCTGGGTCCTGATGATCACAATGCAGCGCAGGATAACAATTCTTGATTGAGCTTATGCATCTTGCTTTAGCTGTTCCATTTCTGTATAAGTGCCCTTGGTTTTCATTTGTGTCATTAAACAAGACAGACGACAGTTCATCTGCCATTCTTTGCCCTGATCATGAGAGGAGATATTGTTTCAGAATGATGATCGTCGATGCTAATTATCGGGCATCGCAGTTATTCCGTGCAGCTGGCTATGATGTGCTGGACATTAGTTTCTATATGCGAAATCAGGCTCTTTACGCATATCGAGTGTCCGTGATATTTTTAAAATTGTTTTTCAGACTAGCTATCTTTGTTAGAAAGTTTTTTTTTNTTTTTTTTTAGAAAGGATGGTGTTCACTGGGATTGCATCGGGACGCGTATTATGACACAGCTGGTTATTGGACATCTAGCACGCTCTTGGAATATACCTCTACCTGACAGAATCAGAGAGAAACTTACAAAGTTGTGAGTGAAGAGGCCTTGTTTTTTGTTATGAAAGTTTGGAAATCGAATAAGATCTTTATTCCTCCCCTCTAGTTCTCTTTTCTTAAAGTCTTCTTTGCTTCTTTTTTTTTCTACTTTTTGTCTGCTTAGGGCTTCAGAATGATTTTTTCCAGTATGGACGATGCGTGCTCGTTCGATGTTGAGAAGAGCTGGGCAGCATACACACTAATGGGACTTGATATGTCTACGTATTCTAAATACACTTCTGAAAATGTTTCTTTCCCGGAGGCAATTCAGGTTTGTCCTTTCAGACAAGAGCAGTTATATTTTCAACTTCACTGTTTTCTATTTTAGCGAAAAATCAGAGCTGGGGTACTTCAACGCATGAAGGAGGTCAAACCCGAGTGAGTTACGAGTTTTACTGATACTTCAGCACTTCCCTCAGCATTTACTTTCGAACCATAACACTCTGTACGGTGATTTCGGATACTTTGGTAAATAGTAAAGCTGTAGGCTGCAGCCACCCCGTAACTTGATGCTAGGTGAATGCTGTGCCGACGCAGATTGAATCGTATAGCTGGTGTTTAAGAAGAAATCTACTGCTAAGTAGTATTAAAGCTGCATCTAGTAGGCAACCGGCTGTAGATTCAGCAAGTATACCATTTACATCTACACCCACTCCTAGCATCTGGCTATACCATCTCGCACCCTCAGGAATACAACAACTTTCATCTCCTATTTTATGCTTACCGCTACGTAGTCTGTCCAGGTTCGAATGACGAAAGTAGAAGACAGGGAGTTCTATCGTCATTTCCATCATTTAAGGTTACTTCCTGCCGTGTTTAGAAGGTATTGCACGAAAGCTGCCATTCAGTTTGAAATCTGATCTTGGTAAATTGTAGATTTGGAACAAAATTTTCTTCCCAGAGATTTCGGAAAAGTGGGTTTCCCCTTATAAGTTCTCTAACTTAGGTTTTACGAGGCGTTGCGACGTGATATCAGTACAATGCGAGTTTTCGCTCTGCTTGAAGATCATCCTGAGATTGAGAAGCGTTTGGACTTGGAAGACAATTGGGTGCTCCGGGAGATGGTAAGTTTAGGCTATTCGTCGATTTTCATTTCTGTTTACTCTGTTTTCCTGCATGAGTGCAGTGTTGCGATGATCCTGTCAATTAGGAACTGCTCCATTATGTTTAGTACAGACACGATTTCTAACGATTTCTACAGTTGTCTGTGATAGTATTTGAAAAAGCTGAGGAACTGATAGTTGAGGTAATGCTAATATAGCAGTTCTAGGCCGAAGCCTTTCCAAATGTGGCGAAGTACATTGGAGGTGTTGTACCACAGGAGGTTACGGTGATGGTGGATGAAGAAGCTGTGAATAGGCTAGGCCCACGTAAACGCAAGCACTCGCCAGACCCTCAGTAATGACAAGATTTTCTCATACTACATATCCTATGGTATAGTCTAAAGGTTGTTCACCTTCCAGGTCACCATACTTGTTTTTTTCATTTTTTTGTTTCTTGTTTTTACACTCTCTAGATTTCTATAGTAGTTGTGAGCAAACTATTTCTCTTCACGTTCTGTTTCACTTTCTAATGTTAGCGAGGTTGTCGTTAAGGCAGTGATCGTGCCAGGAATGAAGGCGGACCACTTTGAACCGTCCTTCTAGTGTAACAGTGCCTTTTATGTAAGCCTCTGAGAGACAAATGAGAACGTGAATGGCACAAGACAATCCCGCTAACACGCCTGCGCAAAACCTCTCTTGAACGGTTTTTTCCATTTTAGTTTTCATGTTGCATATCGTTATCAGTTACTACTACCATGTTGTCATCTCGTTGGCTTTACTGGACAATATTTGTTATGTATGCTTTTTTAAGTCCTGAGCGAGTGCCTTATTCAGCTACGGTTTGATCTTGCCTTGTCCGCCCATTATTTTTCACTTTATCAGCAAGCTTTACTTTGTTAAAAGTTGAATGCAATTTAGGTATTGTTAGCTTTACTACACGGTTTTTTAACATTCTCAAGGTTTCTTGGTGGACGTCAAGCCAGAGTCTGCATAGTTCTGCTTTATATTGAGTTTCTAAAGATCTCTACCATACTTATCAGTATTTGGACAGTTGCCATAAATAAACGGTTCATTTCTTACGAATTACTATATACGTCAAGGTCAGGGGATTATTTCAAACCATTGTGGCTGGCTTTTGAAGCAGAAAAGTTACAGTGGGTTTCTTGGGTGTTAGACTTTCACTGGGACACCCTTCTCGGCGTAGACCGATGTTCGGCTTTACTTATAAAAGCTCCGTGCGAAGAAAAATGATTAATGGTGGCTCTACTGGACGACGCAAAACAAAGACGAGTTAACATTGAACACTTCCGGAGGGTAACACTTATACAACTGTTAATCGCAGTTTGGATTGAAGTAGAACAGTATATTGAGTATCACAGTAACTACTTGGCAATCCTAAGCACTCATTCTCGGCACAAAGCAGTCAGTCCCTTGAACGTTGGGCCATTTGGTGGGCAAAGTTCCCGAACGGACAACATAAACAAGACGTATGCCAAAACATTTTTCCACGATGACGTGTACCAGCTGGGGGTTGTAGTGAGTAAGAGGTAAAAACAGTTCGACATCTTCCTTCTAGTTTCTGGTTACCTGCACCAGATTAGAGTCCATTCAGACTAATCCCTCCTAACCCATTTGGTGATGGCTCTTATCATAGTAATCAAGTAATATCAGGAGAACTGCACCAGAAAAAGTAACACAGAACGTGTGGATAGGAAAATATGCCTTGGCGGTGTTATGGATAGATGGTTTGGTTGAAAGAGGTGAGGTAGAGGTTTGAACAACCCCAACTTTATGAAGGGATAGATAAGCTATTCGGCAGTAAAGCAACCCCAGGAAATTACTACAATTACCTAGGGGTTTCCAGGAGCTTTGAATGTCTAACTTGGACTGCATTCATATTAGAGATTATCAAAGGCGGTGTAGTAGCAACTGGCGGGGTATCACACAAGCTTGGTTCGGGATCGAATCCCAAAACGGTATCCACCCAGACCTACCCAGCCTTCCATCCCTCCAGAATCGGCTACTTGGTACTATGCTGACCTAGTAGAAAAACATTAATTTCCCATCGGCTGGCCACCTCATGTCATAGTATAGGCCACCTACGCATTCAATACACCACTACGATTGTGAATGGAAGCCGAATGCGGGGCGCATTCACAAACGGGATTGATAACACCAAAGGCTTTACTTTTAACCTCCAGGTCATATTAGGCACTTCCTTTAGCTCATTGAACATATCTCATGCGCTCACCATGGGAAAATACTGCTGTGTAGGTAGTGCTAGGCTCCATTCATCTCCTGTTCACAGTAGGTCAATGATTCCCTCAGCTGATTCACTTTACACTTACTAGTCCGGGTGGAACTCCTGACAGCACTGATCAGGTGGTTGACTCCCAAAGGTAGTAAAGACCAGGTGCGAGAAGATAACAGCTCATGCCATACAATTGGTTGGAAAGATAAGTCTTTCTTCAACAGCGATCAAAAATTGAGAATGCACATAATTCAGGAAAGAAATGTGCTTATAAGGTGGTCCCACTACTGTTTATCAAGGTTGAAAGGATTAAAATTCCATAACGGGAATTCTTTTCATGGAGAGACGGAGCTTCTTCGAGCGAAGGTGGTGTAATGGCATGTCGCGCACTATCTCACCTGCCCGGTCGGGGGTTCGAATCCCGGATCGATATCCCTTCCAACCCTTCGTAATCGGTTATTTGGTAGACTCTCTGGGAGAAAAGAAAGCTCCGTCTTGTACATCGGCTGGCCACTGCAATTCATTGTATAGCCCACATAGGCATTCATTACGCCACTACGATTCTGAATGGAAGCTGAATGCTTCGGCGCGTCCCTCAGGCTTGATTGATTAACACCTCATGACTTTGTCTTTTTGAAACTGTGGGCGTAGATGATATAGTGCCAAGTGTCGCATCGTTACAAGCACGGTCCATGGATCGATCCCCGGCTTGATACCCGGGAACGAGGGAATAGGGCGGAAGCGGATAGGCGTATCGGTCAGTCTGAGGAAAGGGGTACTACAGAACCTTCAATCTAATGTCCAGATACACATATCCTCCTTCCTTCCCATAGGAACGAAGGGGGGGGGGGGTGAGAGGAAGTGGAAGTAGAGGGTGAGGGGCTGTTTTGATTGTGTATTAGAGTTGAAATTCGGTGTAGTGAAAATACCTCATCGTTACGCCTCGACCTTGGTCTACATGATGACAATTGAGAAATGGTGGGCGTTCTTCGCAGTCACACCGATAACTTGTTTATTTTCTACGTCATCAGATTACGGTAGGTGCATTGGGTTCAGCCGTTGTCATCCTTCGTCCACTGTTTTTGTCATTAATGTAAACGTGACTTTCTATCATATCCTCATTTCTGCCCTCCTCCTTTACGCTCTCTCGCTGACTTAAAATAACCATTCTAAAGTGAAATGAACGGAATTTTCTTCCACGTGCCCCACATAGGAATTGGGAGCTCCAAACTGGTGACAGTTTGAAAATCATGTGAATCGTACCCATCAACGGTGTTCTAGTGACTGTTGGAATGAGATGGATTTGGTCATAGATGGAACAGATGAAATCTGGTCTGAAAACTTCAAAATCCAACCCAGTGATTTCCCAAGGGCTACTCTTACAGATCAGGTTATTTTTTAGGTTCAGGAGGGAGTTAAGTGCTGCCAGTTGGTGTTACTACTACAAGAAGGAGCCAGGAATCAGAGTCATTATCAACATCGACGGACGGATGGTCGGATAGAGTGCAAGCTAGAGAACATCTCAAACGTCTCTAGTCGACTGGCCATCAGTTGAAAGGAATTCAGTTGGTGAATCGACAAGGGATGACGTAGGCATGGCGCATCCTCGATTACGTCCAAATAGGTGCGTGGTATAACGGGGTTCTGACATTGCTCGAGCTGTCTGGACCCAAGATGTCTTTCAACCCACGGCGTCCTATCCTTGGCCCATTCCTGGACCTCACCAACATGCCCACTTCTTTACCTGGAAGAGCAAGAGGGAATCTCGAGCTCGTACAAATTTGGCTGGACTGGCTCTTAAGCACTTTGCCCTTTAGATAACTAAACATCAACTTCTCTTCGAATTCGCTGTAACAAACTTTTTCCAATGAAGTAATTTTTTAGTGTGTAGGTCGCAGTTTGGTTGAATTGCTAAATCAAAGATCTATCGATACAAACCTGTATTCGCCCCGGTCGTTTCTCCACCTTCTACCCATACACATTTCCCCGGCGGTTATTCCCGTTTCTCTACGTACCCTCCCCTACATCACATGTTCCTGGGCGCTGTCTCGTGCATCAATCGATAACGACTTGGCTTGTGATGGCTGGTGTCGGTGGTCGGTCGTTCGGCCCTATTTGTAATCATTTTCTATCGGTCGAGCTCAGTTTTTTTCCTCGTTTTATCATCCTTCTGAACAGTTTTACCAAATCAATCGGGATCATTTTCAGAATGGTTTTTTGCTAATACACTGTCAACGGCATTTTGTACAGGACGTGTTTTACTTTGAATGGGAGGCTGGTTCTCATCATTTCTCACTTTGAGAACGTTCCTATACCCATCAAAACAGCTAGCAATCCATTCTATAGGTAATAAATCTTTGTGGTATGTGTTTTTGTTTAAGTTATTTAACTTTTTTCATTTTTGTGATTTTTTAACCACGAAAGTTCAATTTTTACATCTTTTATACCAGTTGCTCTTATCAGAAGCGATTGAAAAAAGTTTTAGACTTGTAACTAACTGAAGTGAACTGGACAGCATTGGTATTCAAGTGATAAGCCCGGTTTTGTTGTTATTAATTGCAAAAATATGCAGTAATGGGCAGATGCACGTTGGGGGTGGCACCTAGAACAGGGTAAATCGTAGAGATAATGTAATTATATTTAACAATAAGGTGCCCATCACCACACCATAGTGATTTCGTAATGATTAATTGGATTTCAAGCCCTGTGTAGTTCTCCTCTCCCTTCTTTTGCTGACTTTCTGGACCAAATTTAGACTTTCTAGGATTAGTTGAATTAGGTCTCATTTTTTTTTCCGCAGCGTTAAGTTAGCTTCCCTACCATTCTGCTGGAGGTTCTTTTGGTGATCAATATGCAATAATGTACAGTCGCACGTAGCGCTGATAACAGTTTGATACCGAGGACTATCGACGGTTCAGAAAAAAAGTGAGAAATTGATTGTTCAGTTCGGGTCAGCTGCCGGTCACTCCTCCCCTACATTATTTACTATCTCTTTGAATAGCAAAGAATTACAATAAACCAGGGCGAAGGTTTCATCGATTCTTCAAGTAGCCATACTAGTCTTCCATCTCTTCGATTATTTGGTACCAGACTTGTGTGGGAGGCATGTGTGAAGGCACTAACTTGTACATTGGCTGGCCAAAAGAAGTCATTGCATAGAGCTTATTCGCATTCAATACGTCGTTAGGATTCTGAATGCAAGTCCAATACGGGGGTTTCGAAACGAGGTTGATTGGCGCTAGAAACTTTATGCCGCTAGAAACTTTGTCTTTTATTGCACTGCACGTATGCTTTTACTGGTCTGATATTAATATTCGAAACTCTTTTGAAATAATTCTATGCAAAAGAAACTATACAAACTTTTTTGCATTTTGTTTCTAATCTTGGTGTCTGTAATGATTCTGGCAACTTCATAAACGACAACTCAGCTTTTTTTCTTCTGGCTGACAAGTATAACTATCTTATTTGATTTCAGCTAATCAGAACCCTGATCCATTTGTGATACTATCGGCAGCCGCTGAGATTGCAGCGTTACATAGAAGAATGGAGGACACTTTAACGGATTGCGTATGTTATTTATCTTTCATTCTATTACTATCAAGAAGTTTTCTGCGTTTTCGGGTTCGGCAGTTATTAATCCCTAAAATTCCTATTCATTTCCGAACAGTTCATTACAACCCGTTAGAAGTAATGAAGGAGGAAAGGACGAAATCTGTCTTGAACGGTCGCTCTCCTCCGTGTTCCGGCTTCAGTCAAAAATTCTAAACAAAAGCTTGCGGTTAATCGAGTGTGATCGTTACTGGACTGGGAATCAAACTATAATTTCCAGCCGATTGTCGGTGGACAGATGTTGCAAGAAGAAGCAGGTCATTCATCCGTCAATTACGACGACACCGACCTGGTATGCCACCCACTTATTTTCGCTTTATTTTTGCTTTTATTAGTGGATTGATCTTGATTTATATGAGTGCGTCATCTTTATATTTAGTAGTTGTTTGCGTATTGTATTAAAAAAAAACATAAGTGCAGGAGGACTCGGTCTCCAGTTTGTTACGCAATGAAAAGGACGAAACAAGCAGTTCGGATGAAGATGCGCTGTCCGAAACTTCTTGTCCACGGACCACACAGCGTCGTCGTCAAGAAATGTTTGAAATGCATTTGAAAATGTCGGAAAACTCGAAAAATGGTCGTATGTACATTGGTAACCCTGAGGTTTGTATTGCTGTTAGTTTTTACTATTCCATTAAATAAGAAGCCCTACTTCGGTCTCTTTCAGACATTCCAAGAACTGCGGGAGGATATTCTATGCTTATGCAATGGGTTGAGTACGGCATCTACCAGCATCGCTAAGGTCTGTTGTCAACGCGAAATCTCTCGGCCTTCTGGTGGCAAATCGATGACGTTGGGAACGAAAACCAAAATTCTTAACCAGTGAGTATGTATTTGAGTTGGGATTCATCCATCCTCTGCGTATGTCGTGAATGCTCTGTATTTGTTGTAATTCGTGCAGCTTGTTAAACAAAGGGTTCTTGTAGGAATTTTGATTTGACAAACCTTCTATTGGATTGGAGAGAACCTTATTTCCTCTTTTGCGTTCAGATTTCTACCGAACTGCAGAAGGATAGTGGATAAATTAAGATCGAAATCGTTCTGCTGTTCATACATCAAAGGTGGCGAAGAATTGGTTGTTTCTAGCCAAGGTGGGAACATATTTTGTGACATGACATCAAGGTTTTCTATTCAATTTCTATTTTCTTGAAATCATCACTTCAGATGAGTTTATTCGGTTTTTCGAACAACGTGGTCCAAGAGATCGTTATTTGTTGAAGAAGGCTATACGAGTGAGTTGATAATGCTTTATGGTTTGAGATCCCTCTTCAGCTTATTAAACTGAGTTTTGCCCACCTATTGCTGAGGCAATGGACAGATGGGACGTGGCTGTCAGACTACTAAAGCAGTCCGACGATGTTTCAAACCGAGCAAACTTACAATTCCATTCTCATTTCTGCAACCCTGCGTCCTGAGTCTCTTGTTATTTTAGCTTGCTAAATACATTTCTTGTTTATGTATCTGTTAAGGCTAATTCTTGGTTATTATTATAATTTCTTGATTTCAAGGTCCCCATAACAACTTGGTCGATTCTCGATGTAGCTGTGAATCGTAGAGGAGATGCACTATGTTATGGAACCTGGAAGGATTCCGTATTTTTCGCCAGGTCTCGTTGCTATTTCGTGACTATTAGGAGATTTTTCAAGGTTTCTTGATTCTCAGACTATCAGAATGTACATCGGACAATCCTTCTGGTGTTTCCTGGACAGAACTCCCTGTTCCCAGCCAAGAAGCGTGAGTGCTCATTTTGATTAGGCAGAAAGTAGTCACTCACTGAAATGTGTTAACAAAAAGTCATCAGCAACTTCTCTTTAGAAGTATGGCTATATTTTCTCTACGGTTTTCGCGACGTGGGCACGAAGTATTGTGTGGCGGTTCTGACCGTAATTTACACATTTATGATTTGGAATCAATGAGCAGGGTGGGTTTCTTACTAATCACAATCATTTTTCTCGGTGTTGAACGCCTGAATGGGTGATTCTGAAAATATAAAAATAAATATTAGTATTCGTTTGGTGATAATTTTACAATGTCCTGATTGTTTATAAATTCAGTAATACAACGCCGAAATTTAGGTTGTAAGCATTTCCGATGCACATGCAGATGACATTAATGCAGTTTGCTACGGTGACACCGATTCTAATCTATTGTACAGTGGAGGCGATGATGGCCTTGTAAAGGTGCGTATTTGAAGCTTTACAAAAGATATTTCAACTGTGTTCCCTGTTTGGCTCCTTTTTCTTTTGTCATTTTGAGCCTTATGGTAAAACACTGATGCTTCATACACAACAAAATCGGGATGCTCAGAGTATCGAGTAAGGCGCCATTGGCATCATGTTCGGTTTACATTACAGCTAATCTTTATCTTTTCTCTGCTCTGCGAAAAATAGCATTGAGAAAGCTGGTGAGATGATATCAACACGGTCTTGAAAACAGTGTTCGGAAGAAGAAATTTTTCTTGCAACCTATTTCAACTGCTAAATAAACAAAGTCCAAAAAAAAACCTGTGACGTTTCAGTTATTTTTAAAGTTTTTTACCGTCGACTCTACTACAGGTTTACGATCGTCGGGCTTTCGGAGAAATGGACTACCAACCTGTGGGCGTGTTTGCTGGTCACCGTGATGGAATCACATATATTGACGCACGCGGCGATGATAGGTAACTCGCTGATATTCATCGCTGGTCTAGGTGTCGTATGATTGAACTATCTTCTACAGGTATCTTTTGAGTAATTCAAAGGATCAAACAATCAAAGTATGGGATCTGCGTCGGTTTTCCAATGAAGAGGCAGCGGTTAGTTATTTCAGATAACATTTTGGACGTGGCTGAGGAATAGGTTTTGTGTTATTCTTCAGTCATGTAATGTTTGAATTCAAACACTCTGTTCCAGCGAAAGACAGTGAACTGTGTTCGGCAGCAGTCATGGGATTACCGTTGGCAGCCAGCACCCCGTTGCACTCTTATCCCGCTCAAGGGTTGGTATGAGAAAAAGTTAATTTGCTATCGCATCCGATTATTCGTTGAAGTTTAGGTGACACGTCAGTGATAACTCTAAGAGGACACAGCGTGCTGCACACTTTGGTGAGGGCTAAATTCTCTCCGAGCAGGACCGGCAAGAAGTATATATATACGGGATGTGCACGAGGGGAAGTCGTCAGTGAGTTGGCATCTCATAGAGGCAGTTTTATTTTGCGGGATAGGTATATTTATTGCAATTGTTACAGTCTACGATTTGTTGGCAAACTTATCATCACCGGCCGACGGATCAAATCCGAATCCGGTCTCTCGAAGGCTACCAGGACACGTAGCAGTTGTTCGTGACGTCGATTGGAACCCATCAAGCAATGAGATTGCTACTTGTGCGGTGAGTTGGGATTTGCTATTCTAAAATGTTGTAAAAATCAGGGCCATTTGCAGTTTGAAGTTCTTTGAATGAAAGGTTTTATGTTATGATAAACGTAATAAATAAACGAACGTAACGAACGAGCGGGGAGAGTTATTCCTGGTCACGAAATTGCTAGAAAATCTGCTCTTCTGAACAAAAATAGTATAGAATTTATTTTCTCCAGAGTGCTATGACGCAGAAGAACAGAAACTTATGGCCAACTTTGTTGCCTATGAAGTTCAGAGAACATTCCTCTTTTGCCAAGTTTTCGTTAATAAGTGAGTGAAGGCTCCAAGAGCCCATCGGATCAAGACCTTAGCCACTATCCCTAGTCTAAAGAAAGGCAAGGTTTATAGAATTGTTCGGATGGTCATTGAGGTCAGTTGTATAGTGTCTAATATCCGCCATTTTTTTAATCGTTTTTACTTCAAGACATGAAAGGCGAGTTTCTTCCATAGCAGTAGAAATTCTCATTCAAATATGGTATTAGGTATAATGTAACTGAATAACAAGTTTACGGTATAGTAGTACTATCTTGTAGTAAGATATTAAGAAAAAATTCTGATGTATTGCACTCCCAGTTCATACATAGCGTGAAGAAGGCTTTGTTCTTTCCTTTAATTCCTTTGTCCCTTTTTTGGTTCATTCAAATAATTATTAAATGGACGACTAAGAAAAGGAAATCACAGACGGCATTCAGAACAAATGAGCGAATGGAACTTAGTTCCCCAACCACGATAAATCAGTTAGGAATGAACTTCCCTCCCTATCACATAAATTATCGGAAACCTCCACGATCAGGCTCGGCTCTACCGTATAAAGCCGAATTTAGGTACGATAGTGAGAAGTGGGTTATAGTCTCTGATAAGCGCACACCGAAAACTTCGTTCTTTTTGATGCCTGTTATTTAGAGAGCATGGAACTTGTCTGGAAGCTTGGATTGGCTGAGCTTTTTTGAATAAAACTTGGCTCCCAATATGACCAAGCGATGAAGTTTCTCAGTCAACAATTTACAAGCTTGCTTTGTTCAGTTTCAGTCACCGAGACAGTTGGAATTTGATGATGTAAAAATGATTTTCAGTGGGACGGTGTAACAGCAATATGGAAGTGGGACGAACGACATGATCATGTCACATCTAGTGAGCTGAATCAAATTGGCGCCGAAGATTCCTGTGACGAATTTTATCAGCCAGTGGTGAAACGCCGCAAAGCGGTACTGCGTCGATTGAAATGCACGAGCAGACGAAGGAATGCTGCACGAACCGAAGAGACAACTACCGAGTCACCAAATCCCGAGTTGCTGTACTCACTTTGAACTAGGAGTATATGAGAGTGCGAAGAGATATCTAGGTATTAATGTTCAATTTTGTCTTTGATGTTTAAGGATGGCACCTTTTTATCTTGATTTCTGAGCTGGTATTCAGTGCCCTGGTTAGCGATTGAAATAAAAATAGTGAAGTTGTTTACTAACCAAATGTCGGAACACCGCTCATTGTGGGCGGGACTTCCGTTTTTTGAGATCTAGTTCTCGTTCAGATTTTTCCGACTTCATCCTTGAATTTACGAAATTTCAAATTTTCAGCTTTTTTGTGTGTATAGATACTTGCCTCCTTTTCGAACTTTCTCGATTTCTCCGTATTGAAATCAAAATTTTGATGTTTGAATTTTTGCGACCCTGTTTGTTCTTCGTTTATGGCACGCCGCTTTCTGGTTATCTATTGGCTCCATATTTTCACTGTCATACATCTATTGTACAAATACAACTGATACCAGTAACGTATATGTCTATTGCTCGAGTCAAAATGTGTGGTGATTTCTTTCCAATGACAATTATGTGATTACTACTGATTAATGAAAAGAATAACATCTGATAAAAATCAATAGAAGCAATCAAAATGATGTTTCATCAAAATGATGTACTTTTTGATTAGTTTATTCACAGTAATATAGTACACAAGCACATAAATTGGTCACTTTAAACCGGCATAACATTGAGATGGTAGAAGTGAACATCAGTAATACTCGTATTGTAGTTAATCCCGTGGAAATTGTTTAAAATGTGACAAAGTTAAAAATTTGAGCGACATTGAAAAGGCTTTAAACGACGAAATGGAAGGAGTAGGACGGTTGTTCAAAAGGGGGTGAAAACTGGGAACGGAATTACCTCAACGGTCATCTCCTTAAACAACCACGCCTAGGTTTTGTAAATATTACGCCGCGCTAAAACCAGTCGAATCAACAATAGTAAGAAGGTCGTTAAATGGACTTAGGTAGTAAATAAGGTGTTGTGAAATACATTGATTAACTGGTAATACTATTATCAAGTTAAATAGTTAGATAGATTAAGGAGCATAAGTTATTCAAGATGTTCGGGTGACTTTAGCGAAGCACGTGAGCGATTATGAATGCTTGCCGCCGACGAATGTTCCGTCAATGGGATGGGTACATGGGAGGGTGACGAATAAGGCACTACTGGCGATTCAAAAACCTGTATCGATGGAGTCATCATTCCAGTTATCACTGACGGTGGCCACCTAGCTCCAGCTTCAACAGTAACAGTGTCTTTGAAGATTGCTGGAGTCACCTACAATGCCACAGTATAGTATAGATTGTCGAGGAGTAAACTGGCACGAACAAACGACTTCATGTGTAATTATTCTCCTATCAAGAGCATGATTATCTTGGGCACTCTGCGGCTCATGTGATAAAAACTTCTATTCTAGGCTTACTTTCATTTTTTCGACGGCATCTTTGTGATTCGTGTCCATGAAACAGCACCCTCTAACAAAAGTCGACAACAGCACTGGTAGGAACACGAGGCCATGGAGAAGACCGATGGATATTGAAAGGAATACCTGAAGTTTAAGATTTTTTCAGATTGAACACCACTAGAGAAGAATGAAATCTAAATAGCTACCGTCTTGAAGAAGGTGATGATCATGTAAGCTGGAACATCGGCTAGCACCGACACAGCAATAATGGTGGACAACGCACCCTGGAATGCGGTGAGGATCAACTCACATTCTGTTATAAGCTTGTTAAGTCATGCCAACTTGTCCCGCTGGATGGTATTGTTCAGATTTTCAAAATTAGTTAGTTAGATCTTCAACATTTTCATCGAATACAGAGGGTGTGAAATCAGAAGTTAATCCCATGCGCGCGTAATCGATGGCTATCTCATGGTGTTAGCTAAAATGTTGCTGTGGCTACAGCCGAAGAGGGAACGGGCATAGTCTCGAAATACGGCTGCTTTTGAACGTACTCTAAGTGAATCAAGATCAGTAAAACTCTTACTAACCTGACACAGTGGCCACCCGAGCGAGGCCAAGGCGTCACGGACTTTCTCTCTCGGGACAAGAGCTTCGGAAACCACATACCCGTAGGTTATGTGAGCAGAATAGTCAACAGAGAAGCCAATAGACATTATAATAGTGATCATAGAGATCGCATCCTGAAACTTGTTTCTTTAGCTGACGAGAACAATCGAAAACAAACCAATAAAGGTATAGGTCTCTAGGAAGTACTCGCCAGATTCACACCCCATAGGGTCATATAGCCGACGACACCAAAATCGATTGAACCGCAAGCTAACGCCACCCAAAAGGCACACATCGGCTGTGGGATTAGAAGGAAAGCGATGACAACCATGCACGCCAAAGCAATTATGATGTTTTGCACCTGAAACGAGGATATTATGGTCTAAATACCGCAAATGGAGCTGTCAGCCCATGTAGCAGTTCCAGCTAGTCAGGAATAGAGATTTCGCGAAATCAATACGTTCTTCATAACCCTCAAGAAACGGAGTACTTACAGTATTTGGAATAATAATAGCGTATTGATCGGTGAATAACCATAAAGGCATAAACGTTGTAATATTGTATTCTGGCCAGCGAGCTGCCACCTAAAATTAGGGATGCTGAGAATTGTCATCGGCACTTTGATGCGCTGCCAGACTGCCTTAACATCTTAGGCTGTAAAGCTAGACTACTGTTGGGTTCAAGTAATCGGATAAGGAAGCATCTGAAACGAGTTATCAGCTCTGAAAAGCTCACCTCCCTGAACAACAAAGTAGCATCCATCTGATCTGTCGTGGACGAGATATCACGCATTCCCAGCAAGAAACTGAAACAGGCTGATTAATGCCAGCTCAATGAACCACTCCATAGGGAACTATCTAGCTGCGGACCAATATGTGCGCAAACTGTAAAGCTCGAACTTACCGGAAACTTTTTAGCGTCACATTGCCATCTTCATCTTCACCCCAATACAGGTCTTCTGCCCAGACGTTGTTGTGCTTGGACGCGAGCCAATGTCGTAGCATACTGTAGAACGCGCCGTCGATGATCTTCATGTCCAGAGTATCACGGTAATAACTGAAGGAAAAGGTTTCACTCTTCAGGATGGGTCGGAAATTCCATCTTTAAATTATGTCACATACATATCCATATCGGTCATCCAAAACTGCACAGCTTCCATTCCGATGGAATGACGTGTTGTAGCAAAGTCACCGATCATTGCTTGAATTCGCTGACGCGAAGTTGAGTTGCGCATATCTGGCGCATTATTAACAACCACCTGAAGGGCAAAAATGAGAATGTAATGAAAGAAAACATGGTAAATAGAAGTAATTTTGAAAAAAGGTAGCCGGTACCGTACCTGTAAAGTGGCTCCATATTTCCAAAAATAATTCTGCAAGAGTTTATAGTGAGGTATGGCGTACGAGTCTTCAACGAGTAGATTGATCGGTTCGAGGCCTTCCTGTAGCAGAATTATAATTAGAGCAAATAAGGAATAATCAGTTATATTAATGAAATCTCTGAAATCTATTAATGAAATGGTATGGATTACAGGTTTCTCGCTCATTTAGGCGTGGACAAAGATCTACGGGCTACCGTTTCTATAGTCACACCGTGTGAGAACCGTCCACCAATTGCACTCTACTGACATGGACCGTGAATCTAGTAATAAATTGAAGTTACTGGTAGAAAACCTGACCTTAATCTGGGTGACACCATAATAGGCGAAGATCAGATATATTATGTACCACATTAATGCTATACCTCGAACGACACGATTCATCAAAAGGGGTGCATACCTGGAAATAGAACCACTAAAAACGACCTACTCCATATTAAAAAGGGACTTGAAAAGCTCACCAATCACGGAAAAAGCCAGGAATTGCGGCTTCCTTGATATCATTTCCTTTGACAGGATCCGGTCTGGATCCGAGGTTGAAAATGCGTTGTGACCAGGTGGCAATCTGAACAAGTAATAAAAACAATTGTCGTAGTAAGGAATGAACCAATTTTTTGAAAGAATAGAGGGTCCCAGCATTGCCAGCATTGAGAGGCGTTGCTTTGCACGTACAGAACCATAGGGGTTGAGTTCATAAGTAAAAACAAGCTATTAATAAGTAAGGAATAGGGTTAGTACATGCTAATCAACTTCACACCAATTAAGGCTCACTTAAAGCTTTATCGACGAATACTATACATAGCTACCTGCAAGGATGAAATACCACGCCTACGACTAGTACTATCTGAACACTATGTCATTCTAAAAAGTCTCAACAATTGCGTGCAAAATTCGTGTACACAGTGTATCTCGAACGGATTTTCATAGGAAAAAACTGTTCTAATTCTGACACGTACAGACTCACCTTCATATCAGTTTCTGGAACAGTTTTCAACCCAGAGACTGTATTCCGCTCATTTTTTTCAAGCTTAGTAAATAATACCAGTAGAGCAGCGAAAAATGTAATCTGAAAAGCAGTCTTTTCAGGAGTGAATAGGTAGATCCAAGTCTAATGGTGGAAAGGGTACAATAATTGCACACAACGACGGATTATTCGTAGCAAAAAAAAAAAAAAAAAAGAAACGAGCCAGATTTAGTGATCCCGAACGAATTCGACTATTTTGCCTATATGGATTAGTTCACATTATCATACAATAATATGAATACCAGCACTTTGTGTAACAATTCGGAAAATGTTGAAAATGATACTATCGATCGCCTTCATTATTGAAATGACTGATCATCCACTTCGATCAATAAACCATACCTGATAGATGAACGCAAATGCTATAGCCACCCCTGTATAGACGCAAAATATGTGGACAGCTGGCAAAGTGGTAATGGCCCCGACCCCAAACGACAGCGCATCTGAAAAGCAATGGTAACGTCATCGTCTGATCAACAAAAACAACAACAATATCGAGAAAACAGTTACTGCAACGGTGCAAGACAAAAGACCTTTACATGGCGCATTTCGCTGCTTTTGAACGAGTTGTCTAATACAGGGGCTAGTCTTCGCCTGCGACAACTCGTCCAAAGGGGTGGGCGCGTATATTGAATGCTCAGTTCGAGTGTGCCAGCAAAAAGTGATCATCTTATAGTTGCTTTTTGTGTGGTATACGGCTACTCTCCGAATACTGTAGTCATGAGGTTACCTGTGCTAGCAGTTATAAGAATTGCCACAGCCGCATCCGACATACATTCGCCCATTCGTTCAGCTACCGGTAGACATCGAGACGTTCGTCTGATAGCTGCTATCATCAGGAACATGTTGTCGATACCGACAGCTGAAGGAAAAGGGGCATTTGTAGTACCCAAACTTGTCCGAGGAGCTTCCTTATAGCAGCTGGCTCTGTCTCCTCGCTGCGAGAGCTTCAAAAAGGGTTGAGCTCACCAACTACCAGAAACGGCATCACCGATACAATATCACTGAAGGGCATTCCGAAGAGCATCAACATGCCAAGCGATGTTACAATACCCATACCGGCATTAACGACTCCTGAAACGAGTATTACATAAGTATCATCATGGCTGAAATGGGAAAAAGGAGTGGGTAGTCAGAAATTTGAAAAGGAAACTCGTATTGAAGAGAAGAGACACAAGAATAGTGATAAAGTGGCGTTACACGGGTGTGATCCGGTAGAAATTTCTAATGGGGAGTACATACAATGCGACGCGATATCGAGCGACATGAGGCGACACTACGCGACAGCCTTCGGCAAGGGACATGTGTGGAACTGAGCGGCATAGATCGATACAGATTTGAAATTCCGATATTTCGGTACTTCGAGAATATGTGAGCTGCGGCGACGGGCGACAGAGTGTGACACCGACGGAGAGCCAGCTACAGCGGGCGATATCGAACCAGAGTAAGCCTTACTGTACCGCTATTGCGACAGTTAAAACCAAGTTATGGCAGCTCACGACACTAAGCGATAGTAAGCAACAGTACGCGACTGGAAGCGACAGTGAGCGACACAAAGTGGCAGTTGAAAACAAAAAGGCTGAAGAGTACTGGACATACCCAAAACAGCGAGTATCGGCTTACTGAGCGACCAGTCTATGTAGTAGGTATTATCGATTAAAGCTATTGAGCAGACCATTGAGAATACCACCAGGAGAATGAAGGCGATTACAAAACGAGGTACTGAAATCAGATCAGTTTTTTACGAGTTTTTGAGGTGCAGCTTTTTGTAAAAACTCGATAGATCGAAAAATCAATAACTTTAGACTAACACAATGAATCAGCATTTCTGCGTAGTTCATCTGCTAGTGTTTGTGAGTGGAAGTATGTTATCTTTATGTACGGATCCTCTGGGTAAGCAGCAAGATGTCGCCCGAGTTCCTAAAAAGTATTGATCTCAACTATAAAATCAATTTTCGTAAAATATGACCTTACATTCTCCCATAGTCCTGATATATAGCTCATTTCTGTTGGGAAGAATTTCAAATGATATATCATGAACCAAGCTTGGGCACTAGCCAAAATGTTGGTGCCATTTTCGGTTTTCATAAGTTTAACGCCGCCCAATGCTCCGCCCAGGTATCCACCTCTGAAAAACTTCATTGAAGTGACGGGTAAGAGAGCGAAAAATAGTACTGTAATTAATATTATCGCTCCTGTCTAGATTTAAATTTTGGAGACTTAAATTACAGTACTTACTCGGTTCCAAAGCGAAAATATGGGAATGTAATATTAAAACCATGATTGTAGAGATCTGAAAGCACATGAACATGCTTATTCGCTGGACAGCCGCTATCTGAAAATGACTTTTTTTTTGAAAAACTAAGCTTATCATCTGCTCCCGCTTGACATACAACCTGAAGACTCACTTTTATACTGAAGACATAAATCGTGATATGAGTAGTAGCGGTGTTTATAGAGGACGCGTACTCTGAAAGAAAAACAAATTTTTCATAGGCATCAAAAGGAAAATTCGTAGAAAGATGGAAGGTTATAAGCTAGAAGGAAATAGGAAATGTTTAAAAGAGCGAGCGGCATCAAGCGGCAGTGCGCGATAGTGAGCGGCAATTAGCGACAGCAAGGCTGAGTATGAGCAGGTGGGTGGGGATAACAAGGTTATTAAGAAAAAGACACTTGAAAAGACAAACCGTTTTTGAATATATCGATCCAGCCGGAAGACTGCTTCAGCGTAATGATGCTCGAGGATATTACCGTCATCTCTGGCCAAGGCGATTACCTGTAAAGGATCAACTTCGAGAGTATTCAGAGGTCGTAAAGGAAGATGAAGATTTATTCTCACTTGAACTTCTCGATTTTGTGTGACCGCACGGCCAGCGACATAGTTGTCATAGCTGAGAGGCCATTTCTCGTGAATCGCCTGCCT